TTGCGACGCTGCATAATTTGTAATTTTTTCCTGCAATAGAATTACGTGTAAACACAGCTTTCAAAGCCACAGTGTAAAACAATTAGATAAATATTTCCTTTGTAAAAAAAGTACACGTAATTATATAGTTAACTCAACTTCCTGTATTTTCGACAACATAGTACGTACTGCTTTACCATATATATGTACATCTATCAATTGTAATATCTGGATTCACTTTACACACCTCATCTATCCATACTTAGTTAATAAACCGTGTGGTTTCGAAATTTCTTTCTTGCAATCCCTGTAATTCAAATCATGCGTAGAAGGAATTGCTTCATTTAGGTAGAAGATAACTCTAGCAATATTACTTTTAACTTTTACCTTTAACTGTTAGTCGGGACATTTGTTAAAAAAACCACTGTCCGTTATTTGTCCCGTATCGCCTTTTTCAAATCGCTTCTGATTCGACACGACGCATACTCTATTTGCTGTCACAATAGGACATGTTACGGGGTCATATTCATACTTAAATGTTACTGTTTAATGTATTTGTGTCAGGAGTTCCGAAAACTTCTGTCGTATTTTACAAAGTTTAAAGTTGGTACCAAAAAAAGTGTTTCTAAAAGTAAAAGTTTCATACGAGAATATTGAAGATGCAATAAATCGGAATTGTTAATGGGTTGCGAACAGCGCATCAATCATTAACTCACCTACTAATTAAAGCCGGTGACTAATTGTCACGCACCCATATAAGTGACATCAACTTAAGATATACGACTACGAAGTTGGCTATCTTTACTGGTGATATTTTTTTTTTGTTAATTTTGTTTATTAACACTGCTCACCAGTGAAAACGCGCTCTAGGATATTTTATTTGAATAGAGTCTGTTTTGTACAGGAAAGTAAAGTCATACAATGATCATGGTTATCAGTCGCCTCACGTCGCGTCGATGTCGCGTCACCGTTACCGACATTTTGTAATGACTGCTAAGGGAATGAAGCCCTAGACGACCGGTGTCAATGTCCTGTTTATAAGAAAAATATTTCATTTTTAATTTCAAATGTTGTAACACCAATCTTTGATCATTATAGACTAGTTCTGTTATTATTTGTACGGGAATATTATCTCTGTTTCTTCTTCTAAGACACTTCTAGACTTCTGCTAAGACAGCTTTAGTATGTTAAGTTAGAGATGTATGTAACCGTATAATCCAACTGACGTGACACTTGAATATCTATAGATATACGTGAGGGCAGTGAGATTCTACTTTAAGTTTGTAATCGTATAACAACTATCATGTATTAGGGATGAGTCACATTTAATTCCCACTGTATACTGTAATTTATATGCGATTTGTATTCGTTTACTTGTACTTGGTTAGTCCAAACTTATACACCATCAAATTGAATGTGAAAATGCATTTGAACTTTGTAGTTAATCTAAAATAGCTATTGTGATTTGAAAGTATTCAGTAAAGTTCAAGACGTGTGGAACTTTGTGGATTACTCGCTTTGTATCGGCCTTGGGTTCGCTATAAATCAGCTTGCGAATTCTTTTAAAAGGTTTTGGTATGCAAAAAAACTCATTTATCAAAATAAGCTACAATATTTTTTAACCTGGGTCCAAACACAATACTAGTTAGAGCATTACATGATTTATGACTAGACTTTTCTTCTTGGTACACTTTCTTTATTCTATGACAATTTTATATAACCTGTTATACAGTAGGCTCATAAAAATATAGTGTTCAAGGTTTTCACTTTTTAATATCACTTTTTGTTCTTATCGAATTGAAATAAATTAAAGGAGACAAATAAAGAAATTTCTTTGTTTCTAAAAGTTGATTAATCATTTTCATTATCGCGATATTTTTAAATACTGAAAACGGATATAAATCTACTTCGTACATAGATATAGTTAGGCCAAAATGTCAAAAATTATATCGTTTTTATGAAGATAAATCTGTACAAAATGCAAAAGTATGCCCACGCGCATACCATCAAAATATTGCATTATATCCAACATTTAAATGCAGTGCAGTGCAATCAAAACAGTGCATTATATCCAACATACATGTAAATTATAAAGGATGTCATTGGTCCACAAGATGTATCGACAATGACACAATTTGTTGACCGCGATACGATTATGGTTAATGAGTAAGTGTCAAGATTACGATGTGGTTCAGTCTGTCGTACGGAACTAAAGGTACCTTTTGCGGTAATACAGTACATATGTAACAGTACTCATCTCAGATTGCATTAGACATTGGTTACTTTGAAACCTTGACCTAATGCCAATGTATCCATTTATCCGATATCCGAGTAAACAAGTTCTCACATTCTTTGAAGTTTATGAAATAGTTTCGTAATTTATTCATTTACGATTTTATGAAACGAGCACTTCAAATTGATAGAAGTCAAATACTCCTGGTAAGCGATCTGGAAAATGTGCATCTCCATATAAGATTTTACTTAAAATAATTATATTTTAGTTTAAAGAAAATCCATGTGAGTATGAACTACTAATTAAAATGAAAAAATTGCGATAATGTAGTTTAATATACCTTTGTTATAGTTATATAGCTCACAATATTTGGAAGTACATCACTTTAGAAAGGCCATTGTAGTACTCCGTTGTGTAGGTGTGAAATTAAGTTATAGATCCACCACATTCCGTTAAAATGTCTTAAGAGCTAGTTGTTTATCTTATCCAGCTTATCATTCAATATTTATAACACTGTAATAAAAATAGAATCAAAAGATTTAAAAGCAAAAACTCGGGAGCAACTATTACTTCGTCACTTCAAGGTTTCTTTCAGCGTTTAAAAACAATATCACCTAATTTCAAAGCATTAAGAAAAAGCTCAATAGTGCCAACAATACGACACATGTTGTCGTTCCTTATAAATAATACATAATGTACAAGCGTTATATAAAGTGAACTCGTGTGAAATAACAAACGTTTGGTGGAATGCTGCCAAGTACGGACTGATCACGTTGTCTGCCAATTTAGTATTTTACTTGTCTCGAATAATTATTTGACTCCGGTTCGTATCTAGTGCGAAGGTATGCACTTCACTGCAGTATACTTGTTAGAGTTAACTGTTTAATGAATTGTGTAAGAAGCACATTTAATTACAGTTAAATTGTTCAATATTTATCAAGGTATGATCGACCTTTGATTAAAGCGTAAACGATTTTCCATTTAAGCTATATCAAATTTAAAATTACCGAAATAAAAATACGGAATTGATCTATCTTAAATACGTATAAGGTAATACGTATTTTTGTTGCTGTACTTGAGCCGATGACTGAATCTCTCTTTCCCTTAACATTAATAAGATGAACGAGCATAGGTTTTAACTAATTATACTCAATTAACGTTGGTTTTTTCAAAGTTAACTTGACTACTAAACGAAATTCAAAAATTCCATATCAATAGGTGACATATATAGGTGCTGTGACATTTACATATCATGTTGCAATCGTTTGCATACATGTTGCAATCATCTGACAGTTAGATCCAGGGCTTGTGTATATCATGCCAGTGTCTAGTCACCCTTAACTTAGGGTAGGCTCCGAGCTCCTCGAGTAGCGACATATAGAAAGCTGATGTTGATGTAAGAATAGAAAAAAAGTGAGCAGACTGTGTTCTTCCAGAGTATGCTCTACATCTATGTCTAATTTTATCGAGATCAATTTAGCCGTTTAGGCTAGAAACTAACAAAAATCTACTTCTTTTGAAAGGCTTTTGTATAATTGTGACATAAGTAACGTAGGCATATGTTATTATCGTCCATGAAGAAAACAAATGCAATAAAATAAAAATGTTTTATTACTTTTTAACATTTCAAATGTTTTCGTAGCTACAATATTTGTTTCACATTATCTCTAAAAGCTAAAAACTATTTTATCTAATTAATATTACATTACACATAAGTAGATAAGCCTAAAATCAATTAAACATTAGTAAATAGAAAAGACGAAAATAGGAAAATATCCAAGTTTGTTTTATCTAGTAAACTATAGCAAGAATTGGAAGATTAGACTAAATTGGCTAAAGTATATCACTAAAAAGATATGAGGTATTTCCAAAAGAAATACTGCTTATTTTGCTGTATCCAAGAAAGAATTCAGTTTTCTATACCTTTTTATCGTTCCCACTAACAAAACATAATAAAAACAACGGCCATGTTCATTACTTTTTTCGAGAAATTCGGCGGATTATGCCGTAACACACATAAAAAAAAATATATCGACGAATTGAGTACCTCCTTCTTTTGGGAAGTCGCTCAAAAAAATAAGAACGACGGTGATATGTTTTGTACAAGTGTTTCTACAGTGGAAACCAAAGCCTTTACATGTTCAAAATTTTTTAAAAATGTTCATATCGTATACAACTTATAAATCAATTTTAAATCTACTACTGACAGGTACAGTGCAATTAAAATGAAAATAACAAATTACAGTATTATTAGAATTAACATTCATTGTTAAAGTTATTTATACTTAGTTTAAGAAATAAACGTTAAATAGAATACATGTTACATATTTGTATGGACCAGCCACAAATTTGATCAACACAAGAACATTAAAGTATCTTTTAGGTTTTTGTTATCACAATTATATTCATGATTTTTAAATGTTTATATAAAAGATTACAGCTTAATTCTTCCCTTCGACAATTAACATGTAAATTAAACTGATTTTAATTAATTTAGATTTATTTTTAATTAATGTATAGAATGACGTATAAATAGCCGCTAGTTGATTTAAATCAGAAAGTGCTAGTTAAACATTTTTAGAAATTTTAAGAAAATCTAATTTAAATTAAAAAGAAATAAGTTTTAAAGTCAGTGATAGCTATTATTTTTAATTATTATAAAATCTGTAAACTATTTCATTAATACTTACTTTTAAAATATTTACTTTTAAAAGTTCATCACACATGTTCACAAATATGTAAAATCACAGTAGTTCCTTAACGTATACTAATTTTAAAGTTATTGTTGTATCACTTTATTATTATACTTAAATATAATTGATCCTTTTAAATTTATCATTTAATTTACCTAAACTTAATTAAACTCTTGTTAATAAATCTCATCCCAATTCAAACAAGTCGTAAAACATAACTAATCTTCTTTTGGCACGGTTCAGTTCATGTATTTCCGCTTTAACTATATAAATCTATTTTTCAACGCATTTATGCTCGTATTTTAGTTACAAGTATATTAGAGGTTTTGAATCTATACACATTTTCAAGCTGTTTTCTTTATGCATCTATAACATGTCCAATTAATTTATACTACCTAATATAGGCTTTTCTATGTTGATACTAATTTTTATAATGGGTTAATTGGCCTTGTATTCGCATTTCTTTCACATCTCATACATTTTAGAACATTTCAAAACAAATTCGGTATGATTTTACTAATCTACTAAGTAGTAATGTGATTAAATATTTATGTACAATATTTACAATATTTATTACGTTATTTTGGCGTATCGGAATTAATTTTGATATCCTCTTTCGTCGCAAATAGTGAAGGTCCCATTGCAAGGAGAAGAGTTGTCATAGGCAGGTCTGCAAAAATATAAAATAATCAAATTATTAATTATGATTGTAACGTAAACTTTAGCTTGTAATAAGAGAATCAAAAAGAGTATTTTGTAACAGTTTTTACACTGCTGCGTACTGGGATGTTTTTTTGTTTTATTTTTATATTATGTAGGTAATTAAGATCCTGCATATTAAAATTCGCTGTTACTTGTAAAATAGTTTGCTATTATTTTTAAACAGGAGCTAAACATAGAAATATAACTGCTTGCTCATAAAATAATAGCAAAATACGAGTAGTTTGACTGGATTTATAGGAAACAATCAGTTCCTGACAGTCGTGATAACTTTAGATGTAATTGTAGGAATAACAAAATTACTTTTTATTTTCTATGGTCCGCGTCGTTTCTGGCAGCAGCAGCACAATCCCGCCGCCTAAAGCACTCAAGGCCGCTATCGTCACCATCGGCAAATGTTTGTTCAACGCGGTCTGTAACAGAAACAATTTTCTTTTGTACTTATCTATTCACTTTAGTTTTTATTCAAATATTACACTTAATTCTAACCCTATTATTAACATCAAAATAATGTAGATCAATAGATTTAAAATAATGCAAATACAAAATGGATAACTTACCAATTCCCACAAATAAGGGATACACATGAGTGCTAATCCTGCAGCTACTTGACTGACGCCAACGCCGAGGTTTCTTATTAAAGTTGGGTACAGCTCTGCCGTAAATATCGGCATCATCATATTTGAAGAGCCGATGGCGAACTTCCCAACCATCA